ATCCAAAGTTTGTTCGTAAACCAGTTGACGAATAACCAACGTTGGTCTTGTAATGGAATCAGCATGGAAAAGAACTTGTGTTGATTTTCACCGGAATCCATGGCAACACCACGTCGAACCCTGACCATATCACGTGACATTAAATCTAATCTCCATTTTAGATCATCCATTTGCATTATTGATAAACAAATATGTTCATTATCACATCTCACATCACGTATACCGATGTCTTTCACTTCCGAACATTCATTTTTCGAGAATCTCTTTTGTAAAGTCCATTCTAACTTTGGATCAACATGATACTGATCGATGTGAACACCTTTGTGATAATTAATGTATAAATCACGATCAAATGGTGATAAAGATGCCAAGACATGTGAACGATCTAATGGCTTAATCGTTTCAATTTTGATTGGAACATTTGGTGCACTTTTCATTGGATCAAACATATAAACCGAATGGATTGTTAAGATTAAAAACAAGGATATGGATGGCATCCAACAAATATCAACTAGTATTCCTAAATAGAAAACAAAATTATTTTGTAATTGTCGAGATAATCGAATCGGTTTTTACCGAAATCATTGTCATTCCATTCAAATTCTTGAGTTTTCTTATTTAAATCGAATAAAATCAATTTTTTATTGTCATGAATCAGAATAAAGTGATTCGATAAAGCCAATGTTGATGAATTCGTTTCTAATGAATGAGACTTCAATGGATCAGGATTCGTTGCAAATATTTCTACTAAATCAATCGAATTTTCCTTTCTCTTTTTCTTCTTCGGACAGTTTTCATCTTTCTTATTCTCGTCATCACTCAAATTTTCTAATGGATCTTTTTCTCCATCGGTTAGACGAGCAGCTAATGCCATTTTTGCTATACGGATCGGTACGGAAAAGTTCTTTATATCAGGTAATTGAATATTTATCCATGAACCATCACGAATTGCATCACATTCACTTCGAATATTCTCAACAATTGTCTAAACAAGAAAGAAAAGAAGTTTTTTCTTAGCAAAAGGACCTTTTGTGAAGAAAAGTACTTGAATTTTATCAATTTTCTTATTTTCATAATTTGATTGATCAATAAATTGATTAATTCTTGGAATGATTTTATTTTTCAATTGTTCAATCATTTTCTGTTTATATTCAGTAAGATTTGGTTGAATATCATTTTGAAATAATTGATTTAAATCAATTAAACGTTGATTAAAGATTTGTGAAAGATGATTAACAGCAGCCGAATGCCAAACTTCTAAATCTTGTTGACATTTCGTATGAATATGTGCTAATGAAAATGTTTCTAAGGTATTNAAGATTTGTGAAAGATGATTAACAGCAGCCGAATGCCAAACTTCTAAATCTTGTTGACATTTCGTATGAATATGTGCTAATGAAAATGTTTCTAAGGTATTTATTTGTTCAGTTGTCATTTCCGATAAAGTATAAGCAGAATCAGATAATAATTGAGATGAACAAATATGTTCTTTTTCATTTTTTTGAAGACATTCATAACAGTATTTATCATTATTTTCCTTATCTTTTATGGTAAATGACATTTCTTCTCGTTTCTTTGACAAATTTTGCTTCAGTAAGATCTAAATTTGTTTTTCCTTTCCGACTAAACAAAGAACATATCGATTAGCCAATTAAAATCTTGTTTTAATTTCCATGCGAAATGCATTAATGTGTTCAATAAGACGTGAATCATTTTCAAATAGACAAAACGTTTTTCTTCTGAAGGACGAAGACAAGTTCTCTTCTCGTTCAAATACTCGAATAGTATGAAATGTACAACTATCAACACATGATTGAATCGTTTATCCGGAAAAACTACAAAGATAAAAAAAAGAAAAGAATAAATTTTCGTTCTTCAGTGTCGGTTTCTATTTTGCTTATACATCGAATTTGATACACGATAGATTATTATCGTTTCCCCTTTTGTCTTTGTAAAAATGGGAGAGATGCGTAAGGGAAAAGATCCAGCGAAACGTTTTCGCTGTATTTTACAGTTGATGAAACTCATTCTACGAATGTAAGAATATTGGAAGCGAAGCAAAAGACACGTGGAATCAAAAATGTTCACCTACAAAATAAATAAAAAAGAAAAGAACGAAATAATTTTTGATCACATTCCTCTCGTAACATAAGAGATGTGAAGAAAAGAAAATGATGGAGAGAACGTACTTTTTCTCGGTTTTTTTTTTAAAGGCCGATGATTTTTTTTCTCCTTACCGAGTGAGATTGTTGATGACGACAACGTATATATTGTAACGGCTATATTCCGATGGCACTCTTTTCTTTTAACTCTGTCAAATATTCACGAGTCTTTTTCTTTTTAGTTGCGTTTTTCTTTCTCTTCATGACATAAAGTAAGTTACTTTTTTGAAAAAGAACCATAGAAGATTAGCAAAAGCTTTTCATTTAATTATATGTGCTTGACTGTTGATCGTTCTATTAGCTTATTCTTGAGCGTTTTTGCGGGAAAATTCAATTGAGAAAGAATTCAACATAGTTTATTAGTAACAAACACATCTTTTTCACATTTCAAACTACAAAAACAAAATAATTTCTTTTCAGAAAAAGCATTTGATTGAAACATGGAATGAGATTCATAGAATGTATTGTCGTCCGATACGTTTAGTGAAAATTTGTCTTCTTACTTTATGTTTTTCAATATGTTTATATGAAATCTCGATATTTCTCTACAAATCGAAACGGACTGGTATTATTTCTACAAAGACAAATTCCACCGAACAGTTTTCATTGAAGTCTTCGAAAGAATTTCAAGAAATCTTCGAAAAACTTTCACCATTCACAGTCCATCTACCAAAATTTTTCGACGAAGAAGCGAAAAATTGGTTCTACAATTGTACCTATTATAAAATCAATTCGAAAAAATGTCCGGAGAAAAATTGTGAAAAAAATGGAGTTCTTTTTAACGATCCAAAAGAACATTTAGATGTTCACTTAGCATTTGTTAGAAATGGTCTTTATATGAATGAAGATTGCGGTTATAACTATGATAATCAAGCCATGCGAAGAGTTTTTGAAAATGAAAAAGATATTCCAGCAGTTTATGATACAGCATTTATTTACACAGTTCCTGATGGATGGGCTTTTCAACATTTTCTTGATGGAATTGGTCCAAAATTGTCTCATTCATTTACATTTTTAAATAAATATCCAGATGCAAAAGTTGTTATTCTAAGAGGGTCACGGTTTGATCGATCCGTGAAGGAAATTTGGGAAATGCTTGGTTTGTTCTCAATGAAAAATATTTTCTTGTTTTTTAGTTGAGTTTGTTTTTTTGTAAAATAGGTGTTCCAGAATTTTCTCGAATTATTCATCATAGTGGTGGATCGAGAATTGGTGCTCGTTTATTAATCAATCCTTGTCGTACACCTGGTATTCATCCACATTTGTGGCACAATGCAAGAAAAATGTATTGGTCTATATCAAATATAAGTCAAACAAGCGATCAATCAAAACGAAAGAATTTTATTTATATTCAAAGAACATCAACAAATGCAGCAAACGGCGCACGTCTTATTCTTAATGATGAATCATTTATTAATTTATTAAAAAAAACATTGTGAAAAGAATTCGTTGAATTTTATTCAATATGATCATTCAAAAGATCCCAATCATATTAAATATCGTATTGAATTATTCTACAATGCTCGTTATATTATCGGTGTTCATAGTGGAGCTTTGTCAAATATGAATTTCGCTCAGTCAGGCACCACATTAATTGAGATAATGCCTTATAGATCAGGAACGAGTTCATTGCCAATGACATGTTCAATGTTTAATCCACTTGATTTAAAAGCATGTGCTGGTTATATTTTATATACACAATCTCAGTTATTAAATCAAACTTATTGGATTTTACCGACTGTTGTTAATAATGATGGAAATATGAACGTGAATTTGAGTCGAGTGGAAAATCTTCTTCAACAAATTTAGTTTCTTTATTTCTTGAAATATTAATAATAAAGTCTCATTTATTGTTTCAAAGTTTATAAATTACAACTCCATAAATTGCACATAAAATGAGATTTTCTCATTTGATCGTTCAGAAGACTTTAATCTCAGTGAAGCTCTGAAGAAAACGAAAAATATTTCTAAGACCAGTTTGAATACTGACTTTTACTTTAGATTATTGAGTTTTTAACAGTTCATCATAAATCAGATTATGTTTATTTTTTGTAATTTTAATGATCACAATGAATGTCCCATCGACAATTACATACTAAATTTGGTTTCTTAACAAATTTACTTTGTGAGACGCTTCAATCTCAAAGGTAAAACGTACTTGTTTATTTTCTCATTTGTCAAGGTCGTTTTGGAATGATGATTTAATAATTATATAAGTTTAACAAATATTTATTGAATACTTATTAGTTGACGACTTCGATTCGATTTGCAAAAATATCCTTTGAAGCTGTTTTAATTCCTAAATTCGTATAAGAGTTCCACGTTGTCAAGTAATTATTTCATTAGTGCATCGTTATGAACAACGTACGATGGATTATATTATCAACTGAACGAAGAAATCTTTTTCTTTCTAACTGATCATTCATAAACATGTAATTAATAAACGCCAAACAAAAAATTCTTAAAATAATCTTTAGAATACAGACAAAGTAAAAAATTTAAAAACAAAACCTACGTTCGGTGATAGTGTTCTCTACAATGATGCGTATTCATATTGTGATCGCCTACGTTGCATACTTTCGTACTCAAACTATAATTCTGTCGTTTTCTTAGTTATTCGTATATATAATTAACATTTTACATAATAAATCACGATTCATTAAGAATCTCTTTAAATCACTATTGTATAAAATACGTTGAGAATTCTTCATATTACCAGAATAATAAATAACATTCGTATTTATCAGAGATATCGTTGTAATCATAGTTTTGTAAATTATAAACAAACAATATTTCGAGTTTGCTACATATGGACTTTATACACAACATCGGAATCTTTCAAAGTTGAATGAATTAAGGCGAAATCTAATAAATGTTTTCTAAATGAAATTTTTAAAGAAAAAATCCAAGTAAATTAATTCTGAAACTTCAAACAAACTATGTTCGACGATGTCTCATCTATTTAAGGAAGTATAAAAATTGAAAAATACCTTTGACAGATTCAATGAATATTTTTTTTTTGTTTTTATTGTTTAATTAATAAAAATTTGTAAAAGAATCAAACGAAAAGCTTTTTATCGTCGTTTATTCGGAATATTCTTTTTCGGAGCTTTACGATCAGAATCATCTGATGATGAACTCTCTTCCTCATCTTCATCATCATCTTCGCTGGTTTCATCTAAAATAAATGAAATATTTCCCATTTGAATCAAATAAAATCTGTTTTTCAGTAACACNAGGCCGCGTTACTTGTTTATTAGGTGATAGAGCAGATCGTGGTGGTCAATCGAAATTACTTCGATATAATTTCTTGATAGAAAAACATCAGATGTACGGTGATGATCAATGGTTTAATATTACTCTTATCGAAAATTTTCTTCTCAATGATATTTCCAATATTTACTTTGGTATTCGTGTTCAAAATGGTTATTTAACTTTCTTCAATATTTGGATAAAAAATATTCAATTGAATTTAATTTCAATTAATTAAATATTTCTTCTTTTTTATCTTTGAAATCATCGAAAGGAAAAAATTTTCGAAAATATTGTTTTTGTCTAAAATAAATGTGTACCGTTGTATAGAAAAATAATGAAATCAAAATTAATACTATGTTGATTTCGTATAATATGACTGAAAATTGTAGAAAATTTTTGACATCTTATTGGATGTGTTTTGAAATGATTGTTTAACCTTTGGTTACGGATCAACCATATATATGGTATTGAAAGTTTTGTAGATATTGTTGTCATTACAATATCATTTAGACTTGATCGAAAAGATTCCGCTCTTTTTTTTCGTATCTTGGTAATATTATTAGACAAAAATGTACCTATACACGTTGTCAACGTGATGTTTGTAACGTCGGGCTTCGTGTGATAACTTGTTTTGAGGATTATCATACTTGAAAACACTTTTTAATACTTCTATATATGAATAAAAGTTATTACAGACTGTTTTAGAAAGAAGAAAAAACCGTTATCAAAGGATTAATTGATTATGAATAAAATAAAAGTTTATTTACGAAGAATTTAGGTCGATTGTTTGAGTCATATACGAGTATTTGATGAGGCACAAGAATTAATCAATGAATATGAAAAATTTAATGTTCCTTATCGAACCATATACATTAAGTTATCTCTCTGTTTAATAGTAATTAAATGACGAAAATATCATTGTATTCTTATGTTTTCTTTTTCAAAAGTGACAATGATATTAAGTTCTTTTAATCATCGTCAAATTGTTCTCTTAGAAAAATGATATAAACAAATGAAAATCTCATTCCCTGAAAACAACAACACTCATTTACTTGCTGCTTCTATTCTTCTATCGAAGATTGTCAATCAGCTGGAGAAGAATAAATAGATCGAACAAAACAATTCAATAATAATGTCAAAGTTCGATTATCATGGACTAAAGTCAATGGTGATCATGAATATGATTCAAGTTGGATTACTCGTTCACTAAAAGCTTGATCATACTCTTGAAATTCAAGTAATAGCTGTAAAAGATAATTGTATAGAACTTCCAAGACAAGAACAGAAATAAATCTTGAATTACTTCAATTTAATCAATATTATATAAAAATTGAGAGAAGATCGATATGATTTGTAAGAATTCTTTATCGAAAATCTTTTGTTAGAAAAAATAAATCAATCAATTTCTCAATAAACTTCATTCATATTACAAAGATATTAAAATTCAATAAAGAACTTTTCGACTGTTGATTAATTACGGAGATAATCGTACAATTTATTTAGTTTTAATATTATTTTCGTAAATTATAATAAATTATTTTAATAAAATTAATTTTGAAAATATATCTTCGTTTTCTTTATTTATCATAAAAGTAAAATCGTGTTTATCATAAAAAGAAAAGAGAGTAGAAATTAAAATTGAAAAGCTTCTTCTTCCGGTGTCATNTGATTAATTCTTGGAATAATTTTATTTTTCAATTGTTCAATCATTTTCTGTTTATATTCAGTAAGATTTGGTTGAATATCATTTTGAAATAATTGATTTAAATCAATTAAACGTTGATTAAAGATTTGTGAAAGATGATTAACAGCAGCCGAATGCCAAACTTCTAAATCTTGTTGACATTTCGTATGAATATGTGCTAATGAAAATGTTTCTAAGGTATTGATTTGTTCAGTTGTCATTTCCGATAAAGTATAAGCAGAATCAGATAATAATTGAGATGAACAAATATGTTCTTTTTCATTCTTTTGAAGACATTCGTAACAATATTTATCATTATTTTCTTTATCTTTTATGGTAAATGACATTTCTTCTTGTTTCTTTAACAATTTTTCCTTCAGTATGATCTAAATTTGTTTTTCCTTTCCGATCAAACAAAGAACATATCGATTAGCCAATTAAAATCTTGTTTTAATTTCCATGCGAAATGCATTAATGTGTTCAATGCAAGGTGAATCATTTTCCAACAGACAAAACGTTTTTCTTCTAAAGGACGAAGACAAGTTCGCTTCTCGTTCAAATATTCGAATAATATGAAATGTACAATTATCAACACATGATCGAGTCGTTTATCCGGAAAAACGATAAAGATAAAAAAAGAAAAGAATGAATTTTTGTTCTACAATGTCTGTTTCTATTTTGTTTATGCGTCGAATTTGATACACGATAGATTATTATCGTTTCTCTTTTTGTCTTTGTAAAAACGAGAGAACTGCGTACGGTAAAAGATCCAGTGAAATGTTTTCGCTGTATTTTTCAGTTGATGAAAATCATTCTACGAATGTAAGAAAATTGGAAGCGAAGCAAAAGACACGTGGAATGAAAAAATGTTCACCTACAAAATAAATAAAAAAGAAAAGAATGAAATAATTTTTGATCACATTTCTCTCGTAATATAAGAGACGTGAAGAAAAGAAAACGTTGAAGAGAACGTACTTTTTCCTCGGTTTCTTTTTAAAAGGCCGATGATTTTTTTTCTCCTTTCCGAGTGAGATTGTTAATGACGACAACGTATATGTTGTAACGGTTATATTCCGATGGCACTCTTTTTTTTTTATAACTCTGTCAAATATTCACAAGTCTTTTTCTGTTCAGTTGCGTTTTTTTCTCTCTTCATGACATAAAGTAAGTTACTTTTTTTGAGAAAGAATCAGAGAAGATTAGCAAAATCTTTTTATTTAATTAAATCTGCTTGACTGTTGATCATTCTATTAGATTACTCTTGAGCGTTTTCGCGGGAAAATTTAATTGAGAAAGGATTCAACATAGTTTAACAGTAACAAACACATCTTTTTCACATTTCAAACTACAAAAATAAATAATTTCTTTTCAGAAAAAGCATTTGATTGAAAATGGAATGAAATTCATAGAATGTATTGTCGTCCGATACGTTTAGTGAAAATTGGTCTTCTTATTTTATGTTTTTCAATATGTTTATATGAAATCTCGATATTTTTCTACAAATCGAAACGAACTGATATTATTTCTGGAAAGACAAATTCCACCGAACAGTTTTCATTGAAGCCTTCGAAAGAATATCAAGAAATCTTCGAAAAACTTTCACCATTCACAGTCCATTTACCAAAATTTTTCGATGAAGAAGCGAAAAATTGGTTCTACAATTGTACCTATTATAAAATCAATTCGAAAAAGTGTCCGGAGAAAAATTGTGAAAAAAATGGAGTTCTTTTTAACGATCCAAAAGAACATTTAGATGTTTACTTAGCATTTGTTAGAAATGGTCTTTATACGAATGAAGATTGCGGTTATAACTATGATAATGAAGCCATGCGAAGAGTTTTTGAAAATGAAAAAGATATTCCAACAGTTTATGAAACAGCATTTATTTATACAGTTCCTGATGGATGGGCTTTTCAACATTTTCTTGATGGAATTGGCCCAAAATTATCTCATTCATTTACTTTTTTAAACAAATATCCAGATGCAAAAGTTGTTATTCTAAGAGGTTCACGGTTTGATCGATCTGTGAAGGAAATTTGGGAAATGCTTGGTTTGTTTACAATGAAAAAAATATTTTTTTGCTTTTAGTTAAGTTTGTTTTTTGTAAAATAGGTGTTCCAGAATTTTCTCGAATTATTCATCATAGTGGTGGATCAAGAATTGGTGCTCGTTTATTAATCAATCCCTGTCGCACACCTGGTATTCATCCACATTTGTGGCACAATGCAAGAAAAATGTATTGGTCTATATCAAATATAAGTCAAACAAATGATCAATCAAAACGAAAGAATTTTATTTATATTCAAAGAACATCAACAAATGCAGCAAACGGCGCACGTCTTATTCTTAATGATGAATCATTTATTAATTTATTAAAAAAACATTGTGAAACGAATTCGTTGAATTTTATTCAATATGATCATTCAAAAGATTCCAATCATATTAAATATCGTATTGAATTATTCTACAACGCTCGTTATATTATCGGTGTTCATAGTGGAGCTTTGTCAAATATGAATTTCGCTCAGTCAGGCACCACATTAATCGAAATAATGCCTTATAGATCAGGAACAAGTTCATTACCAATGACATGTTCAATGTTTAATCCACTTGATATAAAAGCATGTGCTGGTTATATTTTATATACACAATCTCAGTTATTAAATCAAACTTATTGGATTTTACCAACGGTTGTTAATAATGATGGAAATATGAACGTGAATTTGAGTCGAGTTGAAAATCTTCTTCAACAAGTTTAGTTTCTTTAAATATCAATAATAAAACTCTCATTTATTGTTTCAAAGTTCAATTACAACTCCGCGTACATTGCACATAAAATGAGGTTTCCTCATTTGAGTGTTCAGAAGAATTTAATTTCAGTAAAGATCTGAAGAAAAAGAAAAATATTTCTGAGATCAGTTTGAATACTGACTTTTACTTTAGATTAATTTATTGGATTCCTAACAGTTCTATAGTGGTTATCATAAATCAGATTATGTTCATTTTTTTTCATTTTAACGATCACGATGAATGTCTCGTTGACAATTATATACTCAATTTGGATTCTGTACAAATGCACTTTGTGAGACGCTTCGATCTCAAAGGTAAAACGTACTTGTTTATTTTCTCATTTGTCAAGGTCGTTTTGAAATGATGATTGAATAATTATATAAGTTTAACAAATATCTATTGGATAATTATTGATTAACGACTTCGATTTGATTTGCAAAAATATCCTTTCAAACTGTTTTAATTCCTTAAATCGTATAAGTTCCACGTTATCAAGTAATTATTTAATTACTGCATCATAATGAACAACGTACGATGGATTATATTATCAAGTGAACGAAGAAATCTTTTTCTTTTTAACTAATCATTCATAAACATGCAAGTGATAAACGTCAAAAAAGACTCTTAAGATAATCATTAGAATACAGACAAAGTAAAAACTTAAAAAAAAACAATGTTCGGTGGAATTGTTCTCTACAATGATGCGTATTCATATTATGATCAAAAATAGATATTAGATGAAACGACATGTCACTTACGTTACATACTTTCGTACTCAAACTATAATTATGTCGTGTTCTTAGTCCTCCATATATATAATTATACATTTTACATAATAAATCATGATTCATTAAGAATCTCTTTGAAATACTATTATATGAAATACATTGAAAATTCTTCGTATTACCTGAATAATAAATAATCTTCATATTTATCGGAGATATCTTTGTAATCATAGTTTAGTAAAGTTTTATAAATCATAAACAAACAATTATTCGAGTTTGAAACATATGAACTTTATGCACAACATAGAAAAAAATCTTTCAAAGTTGAACGAATTAAGTCGAAACATAATATATGATTTCTAAACAAAATCTTTAAAGAAAACATCCAAGTAAATTAATTCTCCAATTTCTCATCTATTCAATGAAATATAAAAATTGGAAAATACCTTCGACGGATTCAATGAATATTTTTTGTTTTTATTATTTAATTAATAAAAATTTGTAAAAGAATCAAACGAAAAGCTTTTTATCGTCGTTTATTCGGAATATTCTTTTTCGGAGCTTTACGATCAGAATCATCTGATGATGAATTCTCTTCTTGATCTTCATCGTCATCATCATCATCGCTGGTTTCATCTAAAATAAATGAAATATTTCCCATTTGAATCAAACAAAATCTATTTTTCAATAAAACTCACCTGTACTTGTTTCTTCAGGTTTATTATTATTATTTTTAATATTTCGATTTAATACTGTTGTTGGTCTATTTACAGTTGAAATACCGATTTTCGAATTTGGTGTATTGACTGTTGATTTTGGTTGATTCAAACCTAAAGTTGAACGTGGTGTTCCTTGTGTAACAGTCGTTAAAGGACGTGTTGTAACTTTCGATATTCCATTTGGTGTTGGAGGAGGTAAAGTTTTTGCAATTTTATCTAATTTATCTTTTCTGGCTTGTTTCTCTCTTTGAAAAGCTTGATTAACATAAGATGGTTTATCTTGAGTTTCTTCGTTATCTTTTGAAAGAGAAGATACATTATATGTATTACTCTTTTTGAATAATCGACAACAACAAAGACCTAAACGTTCTTTAAATGCACTAAGTCCACTTATTTGAGAATCTCGAATCAATGTATCGTCACTTGCCGTGTTTGTCATCACATCAGACATGATCAAATATAAATGACAATTAGAAGGAAAATTAAGTCATGCATGAAAGTATCTATCCAAATTTTTTTTTCGAATAAGAAAAAAGAGAACGAAAAAAAAATAACGCAAATGATATTTATTTTAGTGCGATGATTTTCGATCAACAACAGACGATTCTTTTTCTTTCTTCTCTCTATGCTGCGATGGCCGAGTGGTTAAGGCGTCTGACTCGAAATCAGATGGGTTCTCCCGCGTAGGTTCGAATCCTACTCGCAGCGCTTCTCTTTTTTTTCATCGTATACGAAACAAAGATTTTCATAAATCCAAAACGAAAAGTGTGTTTTATTTTTTTTCTCTTTATTAACAACAAAAGAAAAGAAATGTTTTATTTAATTTAAATCAATCAATGAATCATCCGTATTAGGTTGTTCAAGAATATTTTTTTCATCAATGTCATTGATTTGGTTCGTTGATGGAGGAGAAGACGTTTTTCCAAATAAATGTTGAACAGTTTGTGTCAATAAAGTTGGATTAGTTTTTGTTGGCTTATTATCCTTTGTTGTAGATGTTACAATAAGAATATCGTCGTCGTCGTCATCATTTTTATGATCATTGTCTTTTACTTCTTTATTCGATTGAAGGACAAATGAATCATCTTTGTTCGAATTTGATTGATTATTCGTTGAATTTCTACGAAATAAAATATTCATACTTCTGTTAATTAAATGAGATAATTTCTTTTCTTCTTCGCCAAACATGGTTCGCAAAGATAATCGACCAATCAAAACTTAGTACTTCTTCATCTTGAGTGTCGCTTCTAAGAAACACGATGTAAGAAGCATGGAAAGAAAAAATGAAATTTGTTCATAAGAAGAAATGTCATCAGCTTTAAAAGAAAAGATTTTTATCGAAACAAATAATTCCAAATATTGTTTTCAAGGTTATCCATCGGAATTATCAGTTAATTCATTTATTGAACAAAAATCTTTTCAAGTAGGAATTCAGTCTTTTATTATCTTTATTCAACTTTTCTTTTGTAGAAAAAGTCTTCTTTACTTTATGATCAAATGTTTACAAAGAAAACTGATTTTAATCCAAGAGCACATCGAGATGATCGACAACATTCCAAATTTCAAGGATTAAATCAAGCTAAACAGGTTTATTGATTTCTCATTGGATTTCTCTATTTTAAAAAATTTTTCTTTTGAAAGGAAAAAGAAAAAAGTTATCCAAGTCGATCATCATCACAATATGGGCGTCGTATTAATACATCAGATTATTCAAATGATCGATCAAATGTCAAAATTGAACATTTGAAAAAAGATTTCTATCGAAATAATGGAATTTCAATGCAATAATCTTACGCAATCTTAACAAACATCTGCATTTTCTTTCACACATTCATTCTAGTCAAATCATTCCTCTATCGTTGTTTTCAAAGTGATTATATATTTTTTTGAAAAAGAATTTAATAAACAAAAAACCAAGTTTCTCAGAAGTTTATTGTTCATTTGTTTGGAAGATATCTTTATTGCAAGATTTGAGAACATACATTGAAGTGAACAATTCAAAAGTATTACATAACTTGTTTTGAGACGAGAAAACTTGTTTAAATACAAATATTCAAGTAATGAGTAGGAAATTGCTTTACATCATAAGGATTTTTCAGCTATATATTCTTATGAAAGAATTTGTTTGATAATTGATCTATACCTTCCGACTGATTGTTAAATGACACAAAGCTATCTTTCAAAAATAATTATAAATCTATTTTTCATATGACAGTATTATCATTGATATGAAAGGGAAATTCTCAATGGAGAATAATAAAAGATAATTTCAAAATTTTTTCAATCCGTTCAATGAAAATTCTATTTTGATGATTATGCTACGTGGAAAAGCTAAGGTTCAATTCATAATAAAAAAATGATTTGTTTTCTTTTTCTTTTGCTAATGAACAATATCTTTGAAGTGAAATGATAGTTGCATTCTTAATTTCTTTGAAAATTGATCTCATCAATACGAAATGAAATGAAAGGAATAGTTAGCTATCATATTTGTCGTTTAAATATCAATGGATTATCGATAGGAAAAAAACTATTTTTCGATACATATATAGTAGTTCTTATGATCGAAAGGTAATCGTCGACAAAAGAATAAAAAGATAAAATCTGTTGGCCACGCCATATACTAACCGCACACTAAGCACGCCGTCTACGGATACTATTCATCGAAATTGAATTGGATATGTACGAAAGAAAAAAAGAAAAGCAAAGAAGTTGATAAGAAGAGATATTTAAATTCAATGATCGAATGATACTTCGTCTATATTTAGTAATGAATTTGTATTGTTCGTTTACTTCTCTGTTTTAGAAGGCAAACTCCAATTCTCCCTCTCCATCGTACGACACCGTCCTTCCATCTATTTCCCAACCCCGGGCACGATCTGCAGTTCGAGGTGGTTCGATAAGTTTTTACTACTAAAAATACCCCACATCAATTTGCATGCTTTTTTCTCATATAGGCTGTACAACAACAGCCTGTTCTACCTCGACTGCCAGGTATATTATATATAATATATTCATATGTGTTGAATAATAGAATTTTTTTAGATCGTGTTGCTCAACAATCCCGATCCGTTCCCGTAAGTTCTTCATTTTATCTTTTATTTTTCTTAAGAAATAACTCTAACGAAAGATCAGAGAATTATCTTTTTCTTTGTTAAGTACGACATATTCTATATAAACAACACGTTGTACTTATGTCATCGTAGTAACAAACACGTGTTTGTCCATTTGAGAGAAAACACATCTAATACACAGAAATTTAGAAGAAGAGGAAAAAGAATCGATGCTCCGTTTATACATTAAAGAGAAAGAAAACAGAAAACTTTCAATATTTGGAGTGAAAACGAATCTTATTTCCTTTTTCTTACATATGTTACATGCATCAATTAGATATTCCATAACCCTTTGAGTCCCAGTGGTACATATATGTACCACCTACGGAAAATTTCTGTTTTTCAAAACGTTTTCGAATTATTTGATGTTTTTAAGACTCGAAAATAATATTTACAACGAATAATGTTAATTAGCGTATAATTTCGAAACATTGTATAGATATTCCTTAGAATAGAGGTCATTGAATAGTGTACTGTCGCATTTCTGTATGTAATTTTGCAAACTTTTCAACATTGTAAATTTTGAAAAAACATGTTTTATGAGTTACTGTGTTGTAATGACTCTGAATGAATGCTTTCAAGAACCTAACTAATTTCTTTTCTAAAATAAAATGGATTTAGGATTTTGATGAGATATTTTTCGATGAAAGTAGAAATACAAATAGTTCTGAAGATAATGAATCAATAATTGAAGATTGAGGATGAAAAGCTGATAACTAAAACCAGGATTTGATATCACTTTCGATAAATATTAGGGAAAAACTGAAAAATGACGATGGTTAGTTCATTTGTGATATAATATTTCAACTTATCGTAGATGCGCTTGTTGTAGTATAAGAAAAAGAGAAAGAAAGAATGAATGAAACGTGTATCTATCGCCGTGTTTGTCGTTGTTTCAAAAATCGTTTTTAATGATCTCATCAAAACTATGTATATTCACAATGAACTGAATAAATGCATGCTGCTATGATGACATAGCTTTTTATTATAACCTAATCAGAGGTCTCGTAATACCATCTACAGACACCTAGAGCTATGTTTTGTCAAACTAAAATTCACGAAAAAAAAGTCGGGACTCAAGGGGATAAAATCTGTTTTCAACAATAGATCTTCACTCTCATTAAGCTGTTCGATAACACGATAAAAATTTATGCTAGATAATGAATGATGATTTTCCATTAAGAATCGTTCTGAATATAAAGACAAAAAGTATCAAATCATTTTTCCTATTATTTGACACATGAATACTTTCTGACTGTTTTTTTCAATCATCTACATGAACATGAAACAATATAAGATTGTTCATTATTGCCAATCACATAGATTTAATTCAAAATGAACTGAGAAACGCAACTGAGTGATTCACTTTGAATAAAAAAATTGGTATGACTTAGGTATTAGTCAACGTCATTCTTCTTCTTTCTTATCTCTTATTTTCTTATTCGTCGAAAATTAGTTATCTAGGCAACGAACGTACTCAGGTCAATGTAGAAAAAAAAGAATGAAATAAGAAAGACGAGATCATTGATACGTTTTGTTATTTAACTCATTATTATAGAGGAATACCCAGGTTATTATGGCACGGTCGGTTCCGGCCGGTTAGGTACGTTTTCCGACCGTTTCCTGCAAACTTCGAGCTGGAAACGGTCAGGAATTGATCGGATATTTCCTGTGCAATTCCAGTCGGAATCCGGCGGCAAGGAACCTGCCGGACCTTGCTGGAATCGGCGAAAAGTGTGCCGGAATCGTGAAGAGCTGTACCGGAACAGACTCAGATTTCAACGGATCCAGTCGCCGGAATGATCGACCTGGGAGTTTTTATACTTTGTGATCTTTCAATATTAACAATCATTACTTACTCAATATGATTGAGATCATAAAGATCGCTGTTTGTAATGATCGACGTTAAAATCACTATATCAATTATAATGCTAGTACTATCACATGTTTCATTGCTACTTTGTTCATTGGTTGTAATTGCTCTGTTGTCTTCTCCTGTAAACAGAACTTTCCATATTGTATTGATGTGTAATGATAGCAAATTCTCATTGTTATCTATTGGAATGAGATTCAACCTATCACGAACATCATTCATAACAGTATTGAACAAAGAAGATTGAATATCAATGTTCATAGTGAAAAAATGCTCGAAATAGACTTAATGTACAGTGAATAAGAGAAGATCTTAACTGAACTATAAAAAAAGTTAATAAAGGGAATAAAGAACAAGCAGAGAATAGTTTGATTGACCAAAATCATTCACAACTAATTGTATCTGTTTTGATTCTATAAAATATTCGAATGTTTAGCATGACATCTATTTAACACCATGTTATAGATATTCTTCTCTGTTCATTAACTTCTATGTGTCGAGTACGATTCAAAATTTGATCAAAATGATTTTTTTTAAAAAAAACTTTCAATTTATTATTATATATTCTTAGTTTTTGAATATTTTAATTATGCTATTACTGAATATTCATATTTTCTTCAATCACCTTTACTTCGTAGTAAATTAAAAAATATGATTTTAAGATTAAACATCCAATAAAACATTTCATTTTTAATTCTTTCTATCTTTTTCAAATATATTTTTATATGAATTTTTTAATAAAAAAGAATTTCATTTTGTTCTCTTTGAATAATTCTTCTCATACTAATCTTTTCGATTGGTTAGTTATGAGAAAAATAAATGAAAAATCAAGGATACGTTAATCTTTTATTTAAAAAAAAAAACAAGAAAAAAACCGAAGAACGGAAAGTTTGTTGTGGAAGAGAAAGAGGATACGGGTGAGTTATTGACGACGAGGAAGATGATCGAGCGTTTGTTGTTGTAATTGTTGTTGCTGTCGGAGAATCTGCAGCATTTCTTGTTGTAGTTTTTGTTGATTTTCCTGCAGTTTTTGTTGTTGTTGGAGGATGTTGAGGATTTGTTGTTGAGTACGCAGGTAGGTGACATCGGGCTAAAAGAAAAAAGTATAACTAATGACGAATAGATGGAAAAGAAATCAATTTCATAATATTTATCTCTATTGAATGTATGTACACTAGAAGTCTGCGATTTTCCTGTGCAAACCGTGTTATGAATTATTTTCTCATCAAAATATTATCCTGTTGATACGATCAACTGAACAATCTATTTTTCTCATTGGAAGATACAATACATATGGATGACAACACTTACAAGATCTGAATCGTTGTATGTTAAATACTCTTTTTCACACATTGATACTACCCAGGTCGATCATTCCGGCGACTGGATCCGTTGAAATCTGAGTCTGTTCCGGTACAGCTCTTCACGATTCCGGCACACTTTTTATGAAAACTTATTGGTTAGATGTTTAAATGAAGGACCATTTTCGTTGTCATCAAACAATGAATGTAAATACATTCGTATTATTATGCAAATATGTGAAGAATTCGAACGAGATCTATGTCTTGGTATAATGCAATTACTCAAAACTACCATTGAAGCGACGAATAGTCATACAAATTCAGAAATAAATTCGGTGAGTATTTGGTTATTCATCTCTTATTATATGAAATATTTCAATCTATTTTGTCTTCGATCATTAAGGTATGGTTGATATTCAATCTCGTATGAACAATCAATAAACTATCTAGTCAGATATTCTTGTTAAAAGTTTCTTTTCTATATTTTCTATGATTAATTATTTGTATAAAATTCGCTCTAAAATCTTCTTTTTTTTTTCTAGATGATTGATTCTTCAATCAAATTGCCAGATCTTTGTTGGTTTAATATTTGTCAACATTTATCAGTAGGCGAAATAGCTCAATTATCATCAACATGCCAAACGTCGCGTCATATGTTATGGTCACGTGAATCATCTTTGTGGTTTTATTTAATTTAATTGAAATGTAAATCAATTGCTCTTTATCGATCAATAAGAGATTTAATGGATGAAGATGAAAATGCAATTATTTTCGAGAATGAACGATTTTCTCAAAGACTTCTATCAGAAATCAAAAGTTACACAGTTTTCTATGAAAAATTTCTCAATCTGGGACAGTTTTATTCTTGGTATACTCATTTTACTTCTGCAAAAAAAGATATACGTGGCTTTTTTGCCTACAGACGATTTATGTATCCAAATCGTATTCGATTGTTTTATCATGTTCCAATGTTAGATGGTTCAATTCTATTATCATCGAAATTATTTCGTTTATATTATTATCGGTGAGCAATCGTTTTGTTCATTAGAAATATTTATCAAAAGGAAACAAAGTTTTTTCTTTCAAATGATATTACATTTGTATTTAACCATTCTAATACCTTTTTTTTCTTTTTAGATCAAATAAGAAAAGCATTTTAGTACCGATTGGTGTACTTATTTATTCTTATCTAATTGATAATTGTAGTTGTTTATCTGTTGATGATATGGTTTTTAGAGAATGTACAAGTTCAATAATTCAACTAAAACCAATGAAGATTGACGATGATGGTGGAATTCCTCTTATAAAATCTCATGACTTATCAATTGCTCATCCTTTAACACTTTTCTTTTTCAATAAAACACCTTTATGGGATAATTTACTTCCAGGTCGTTACGATTTAACATGTCAAATGCAGTTACGACGTCAGGTAGAAGAACTTTTCAAATATTTCAACTCAAATAGAGTTAATCAAAACAAATCTCACAAAATAATTTATTCTTTTAGTTGTTCGATCAATCTTCTATTAATTCTAATTTACTTAATGCAGCTCCTATTGATATTAGTTTATTAGGTGATAGAGCAGATCGCGGTGGTCAATCGAAATTACTTCGATATAATTTCTTGATAGAAAAACATCAGATGTACGGTGATGATCAATGGTTTAATATTACTCTTATCGAAAATTTTCTTCTCAATGATATTTCCAATATTTACTTTGGTATTCGTGTTCAAAATGGTTATTTAACTTTCTTCAATATTTGGATAAAAAGTATTCAATTGAATTTAATTTCAATTAATTAAATATTTCTTCTTTTTTATCTTTGAAATCTTCGAAAGGAAAAAATTTTCGAAAATATTGTTTTTGTCTAAAATAAATGTGTACCGTTGTATAGAAAAATAATGAAATCAAAATTAATACTATCTTGATTTCGTATAATATGACTGAAAATTGTAGAAAATTTTTGACATCTTATTGGATGTGTTTTGAAATGATTGTTTAATCTTTAGTTACGGATCAACCATATATATGGTGTTGAAAGTTTTGTAGATATTGTTGTCATTACAATATCATTTAGACTTGATCGAAAAGACTCCGCTCTTTTTTTTCGTATCTTGGTAATATTATTAGACAAAAATGTACCTATACACGTTGTGAATGTGATGTTTGTAACGTCGGGCTTTGTGTGATAACTTGTTTTGAGGATTATCATACTTGAAAACACTTTTTAATACTTCTATATATGAATAAAAGTTATTACAGACTGCTTTAGAAAGAAGAAAAAACCGTTATCAAAGGATTAATTGATTATGAATAAAATAAAAGTTTATTTACGAAGAATTTAGGTCGATTGTTTGAGTCATATGCGATTATTTGATGAAGCACAATAATTAATCAATGAATATGAAAAATTTAATGTTCCTTATCGAACCATATACAGTAAGTTATCTTTCTGTTTAATAGTAATTAAATGACGAAAATATCATTGTATTCTTTTCAAAAGTGACAATGATATGAAGTTCTTTTAATCATCGTCAAATTGTTCTCTCAGAAAAATGATATAAACAAATGAAAATCTCATTCCCTGAAAAACAACAACACTCATTTACTTGCTGCTTCTATTCTTCTATCGGAGATTGTCAATCAGCTGGAGAAGAATAAATAAATCGAACAAAACAATTCAATAATAATGTCAAAGTTCGATTATCATGGACTAAAGTCAATGGTGATCATGAATATAATTCAAGTTGGATTACTCATCCACTAAAAGCTTGATCATACTCTTGAAATTCAAGTAATAGGTGTAAAAGATAATTGTATAGAACTTTCAAGACAAGAACAGAAATAAATCTTGAATTACTTCAATTTAATCAATATTATATAAAAATTGAGAGAAGATCGATACGATTTGTAAGAATTCTTTATCGAAAATATTTTGTTAGAAAAAATAAATCAATCAATTTCTCAATAAACTTCATTCATATTACAAAGATATTAAAATTCAATAAAGAACTTTGCGATTATTGATTAATTACCGAAATAATCGTACAATTTATTTAGTTTTAATATTATTTTCGTAAATTATAATCAATTATTTTAATAAAATTAATATTGAAAATATATCTTCGTTTTCTTTATTTATCATAAAAGTAAAATCGTGTTTATTATACAAAGAAAAGATAGTAGAAATTAAAATTGAAAAGCTTCTTCTTCCGGTGTCATAATAAGTTTAAAAACATGTTGTTGTTGTCCTAAAACTTGATTTTCTTGTGAATGTTGTAAAGTTGCTTGTTGTTCACATTTTTCACAAAATGTCAATGAAGGACAATGAACACAGTCAAAACGAATTCCATTAACTTCATTCTTACATTGATCGCAACTAAAAATGAAAATTTCAAAAGAATTTTTTCTTTCATTGAATAGACATACGTAACACCATTATGATGAACAATCGCATTTTCTGGTCTCGGAAGATCGAGGATCGTCTGTTTCGGTTGTTTTGTAGCTGATGCTTGATAAGCTTTGGCTTGTGCCCAATTGAATCGGTGTCCACAGCCCGATTGAACATTTCCACCATGTGCGTCTTGACCACATACCATTGTATCACAACCGTCAATACGTTCGACAACTCGTTGACATGATGGGCAAAGACGGCAGTTTTCTGCTTTATATCGCTCGTCATGCAGTAATTCGTCGTAACGACGACGTAATTCACGATTACGATTATCATTTTCTTTATGTTTTTGATTGTATTCATTTAATTGAACTTGATATGTTGTATCTTGTTCTGCTCGCTGCCTCAAATATCGTTCACGTTCTAAATAGACACGAAAAGAAATAAGAGAGAAGATCTTTTTATTCGATTTTCTAACCGGTTTGACACCAAAAGAACCAGCGCTGTGTAATCTGCGGAAGTTGTTGACATGTTGTTCTATAATGATATTGTTGATTACAAAGTGAACAAAATTCATGTTGACATAAAGGACAATTAACTTTAAAACGTTCATTGGGATCAGCAGCTTCAGCAACCCATGTACAATCTTGTTTCGGACATTTAATCATTCCAACTGTTCGACTTGAATAAACATCAAAGGTTTTTTTGATTTGATAATCTTGAATCTTCTTTAATTCTTCTATTGGTATACGAAGTTGATTTAGTTCACTTTCTTTCAATACATTTGGACAAAGTGCACAAGTCAAAATTTCTCCATTGCTCATCTTTGTTTGACAAGATTGATAGTAACATTTGTAACATAATTTATGACTGTCATTGCAATCGAACACATAAATATCATCATATGGACATGCTTCTAAACAAATGTCACAATCTCGTCGTGGTAAATCAAACGGAAATGTTGAACCTGCAAATGAAATTTAATTTGAATGAGAGAAAAACACAAGAAAGTATATAATTACCATAAACAGCCAATGTTTGAATAATTGAATGAGGATCTATTGAAGAAGACGAAGATTTGTTTTGTTGTTGAAGAAAGAATCGTATTTGTTCTTTAGTAAATGGATATTTTGTTCTGAAAACAATAAATTCAATAAATTTTTCATTGAATGAGATTTGATTTGCTCGACATTCTCTTGAATGATTTTCTAATTGATTCGTTGAATATGGTAAATAACAAAATTCACAAGGAATCAAATCATCATTGCATTGCTCAAAATGATCATCAAATGTTTCATATTCATTTAAATTTATGTAAAATTTACATTTTGAACAGAATGGTCGTTGTTTTCCTTGAACAAGATTGAGAAGTCGATCATACCAACGACGTTCGAGTGGAATCGATGAAATATCATGACGAGATAATTCATAATCACATTTATTTTTACAACAAACAGGTTTTTCACGATTAAGAGCAAATTCTTTCAGTGACTTTTGAAGACAAATCAAACAATATTGATGATTATAATCACACGATATCATATAAAATGCGTCATTATCATTTTCTTTCGAACGATTACTAAAAATAAAATCAATTTTAAGATGAAATCTTGTTTTTCTATTTACCATGAAAAGCATTTCGTATTCAAAAGTTGTTCATTTCGATTCAAACATAATAAAACATGATTTTCATAATCTTCGATATTAATTGCTTTGAAACATAAAATACAATCTCTTTTCTTTGGTTTAACTTCATTCGATGATGCATTAAAAGTATTTATGTCATTCTAAAAGAGAATTTATGTTAAAAACAAACAATACGATTTGCAGTTGATCTGAGATTCAAATGCGAATTTACATCGTTTGATGAATTGAATGTTGTTGTTGGATTTATTTTAGGTTTTATTTCTTTTACTTTGGGAATCACATCTGAATATTCAATCTAAAGAAATTCAACTTAGAAATCATTGTCATTTAGATGAAAAATTATACTTTCGGATTATTTTGATCAATCGAGCAAGAAGAAATATCTTCAGATTCATCAATAAAATTCGAATATAAAGCGCATTGTTTCTCATTTTCATTATTTGAATTGTTCTGAATAAGAAAAAGAATGAAAAGGTAAAAAAAACGAAACAAAACCTGACTTGTAACTGATTCGATGAACAAATTGCCATATGAACAACGAAATCCTTTTCATCAACATTTTGTGAACATAAAATACATTTTTTGGTGACGAGATTTGTCTATGAACAAATTGATTTGAGAAAAGTTGTTCAAATATTCAATTCATTATTTTTACTGAACGGTCTTCTTCGATTGGTGTCTTCTTTATTGGTTTTATTGTTGTTTGCAACGGTTTCTGTTCATTCTATTTTATTGTATCTTTAAATTTGAGTAAAAACAAAAGAAGAAATGAGAAAATTTACTGTTGAACTATGTTGTTGTTGTGTGACATTGTCACTTAAACAATTGCGACAATGTTTTTCAAAATCATATTCATTAATATATTGTGAACATAAGATACATCGCTTTTGATTTGAATTCGTTTTATCGACGAAAACAATTTGGTTTATCTATGAAGAAAATGTCTTTCGGTTTTTGTTCGTTTCATCAATAGAAATATTTAACAAACTTGAATAGGTGATTGACCTCTTGGTGTCTGAAATACTGAATCATCTTTTTCTTCATCAGATAAACAAGTTTGATAATGTGAAAATAAATCTTCAACAAGTTTATGACAACGTGGACAAGTCTTCATTTGAGTTGATGGATCTTTCTCAAAAGATTCATTAATTATCGCTGATCGACAGTTGAGTATATGATTATGAATATCGTTTTCTGACACAACCTTTGTACATTGACTACACTGTCGAGAACCGGACGGATGACCATTCATTATCGAGTCTTATCAGTCTTTTTCTGCACCCTAAATAAACATCATAAGTAGAAAAATGTGAATTCAGTTGCTTTTCTTCATGAGAAAAAAAGAAGAAAATGTCTATTTTCTTAAAGATATTTTTGTATTTTGTTGTTAATCATCAAGATGACATTGAAGATACTCTCTTTCAATTAATTTCATCAGTTTTTCTCTTCCAAATTGAGACAGTCTGATGTAAATCAATTAATATAGATTGATCGATAAATGGTTCTCGTTAAATAACGAATAAAGTTTTGTTCCGAACAGATGTCGCTTCTTTATTGAAAATATCATGTTTAACATTTCAATAATCTTACTCAATATGAAAATAATCGAAACGAAGAATATGCAAAGATGAAGGTCTAAATTTGTTTCTTGGACATATATGTAATCATACAAATGAATTGAATTAACTGAAAAATGGGTAAATTTGTTCATGCAGATGACCATCGTCAAGGATAAGAGATGTTCTATATAAGAAGAGTTGAAAAAGAGAGAATTTCAAGCAGAATAAAAGAACGAAAACGAGATGAATTTATTCATTTTTTTGTCTTTATTCATTTTAATAAAATTCCCTGCAGCAGAAACAAATGATATTTGTAATCATGGACAATTGATTTCAACTGTTAATGAAACTGAATTCGATTGTAAATGTGATCGTGGTTGGATCAATTCAAAAGATCAAACAAATTATTGTAATTATGAACAAAAATCTCAATTGGCATCTTTTCTTCTTTCATTTTTTCTTGGACTTTTCGGTGCTGATTGGTATTATTTAAGTGTTGGAAATGGTGGTTATATAGCTGGGGCTATTTTTAAAATGTTAACTCTTGGTGGATTTGGTATTTGGTGGTTAGTTGATTGGATTAGAATCTTAACAAATGCATTTCCTGATGGAAATGGACAACCATTACTTCCATGGAATCCATGAAGAGACAAAGATATCCTTCGTTTCACTTGTCAGAATGTGCAGAAATTGACAATTTAGTTATATATTGTGCAATTCATAAAATGAGAAAAGTTCAATTGAAATGCAAAATAAAAAGAAGAGAAAGCGAAGTTTTGTTCGTTTTATTGCATTTGTGGTGCAATGTATCTTGTCCAAATCATATTTTTCAATTCACTACGAAGTAATGCTGATTGAAGAAAACACGCATAACCAGTTATTGCATGATTAAAGTATTCAAATCCTATTGAAAAGAGAGAGAGAAAAAACAGAAAGGAAATTCTGCAGAAAGAAATGAATTTGTCAACAAACCTAGACAAATGTAGAAAAAGATTGAATAATTCTTATGGAAAAGTTCATTTCGATCAAATTTGAGACAAATATAAAAAGTGAGAAATGCTCGGGGAAGAATTGCAATGGAAAGAATCGTTAAAAAAAGTAAAATTCCAATCGATTCTTTAACTTTGACTTGTAAGGATAATGGTAATCGACGAATTTCTCTCAACAAAAGAATATTTACTAATAAAATACTTGCGATAGGTAATGAAGTATCAAGAATCAAAAGTGAAATAATTCGAAATAAATTCTCGTGAAATCTTATAAATCCAAAAAGATATTTTTCATTTGTTTTCATAACAACCATAAAATAATTATAATTAATTTCAATAGATTTATATCGTTGAGTGAAATAATATGGATATTGACTTACAAGTGCTGAGATTAAGATGAAAACAATCAAAATTATGAATTGACGATGTTGTTTGCGTTTGTGCTTCGAACGCCAATCAAGGTGTGTATGATGTTCCCAATAACGAACAGTGAGGAGACGCTCAATTGCCATCAAAACCTGATTGAAAAGAAAATCGAAAATTGTGTTTTTTTTCTATTCAGACAGAATTTATTTACTTTGCACCAGTTAACAACAAATATTGGATAACGATCCGTTGCGATATAAATAAATTTCGTGAATAAATTCAAAGGAACGACATTAGCAAATAGAAAATAATAGAATATTGAGGAAAATAAACGAATACAATCGAAAAATGCAACTGTACCAATCAATAGTCCATAACTTACATGACGAAAAGATGTTTTAAAAATGATATAAATCAATGCTAAATTTCCTAAAACACCCAATACACAACATATCGAGGATAAAATACGAATTGTTTCAAAGATGGTTAACAAATTTTGATCATCGTTGATTGTGAAATTTTTCAACTTGAATACATTTAATTGAGATTTATTTATGAAATGACTAGTTGGTCCATTGCTGATCATCGTTGTGAAAAGAGACATAAATAAAAAAAATCTCATCTCTTCTTGTTCTTCTATACTCTTTAATTATTCAATGATCAAATCTGTTTACTATCAATCGAGGCTTATTTAATCAATATGAGTTTTTTTCTCTCTCAATTACTTTTGGGAATGAATCAATTCTTTTGCTTTAACAAAAAAAGATAATACATGTTTTATATCATTAATTTTTTTTAATGTGCCGACATACACTTACATCTATGTTATCAACAATCAGCTAATCTTTCTCCTAAATCATTTTCATTATGATGTTACCGATCTTCAAGGCGCAAATGTCTGAAGACGAAGATAGATTTAAATAAGAGTTTTCACTTTATTTCCTCTCGGAGATCAAAGAAGACAAGAATTCGAAGAAAAATTCCAACGCGAGAAAAACAAAAATTCTAAGTTCATTGTTTAATAGCGTTGTTGGTATTTGAATACACGTTGAAGCTAGAAGAAAAGCAGACAATTATTAATATCGAATAAGGTTTATCTCAATGTAAAAGAAACGTACGTCAACTGCAACAACAGCACGTCGCAAAGCGCTTCGAATTGCTTCATTGTATTTTGGATCAACAATAATATCAAAATCAATGATTAAGTTATTTTTCTTATCGGTTGAGATATTGGTAATGTCAATCGACTTCAGACCAACTCTCTGGAATTTACGAATTTCAGCTGCTAAGACATATTTAAAGTTTTGAGGGAATCGTCCACAGAGTCGACTGGAGATTTGTTCCAAGGTTACACCTTCCAACAACAATGTAGAACTAATTTTACGTAAGGCACACTTGGCACAAGTTGAATCGAATCGACCATCTTTACTGTATGGAACATCAGCTGATGTCGACAAAATCTTGAAAGCAAAAGACGAGCTTATAATAAGGAACACCTAATTTACTCTTACTCGAACAACATGGCCAGTACGGCGCTTCGTCACTTGGGTCTTTCGTGTTGGTTTCGGTTTACCTTCTTCAGATGATGATGACGAATCAGCTAAAATACAATCCATACAACTTGTGCGATACCTACAGCGCTCCATCCTAACTTACATGAATCAGACTCCGAACTACGTTGTGGGCAACCAGTCTTTCCTGCACCGCCCGACGGTTTTCGTGTTTTCTTCACAACCGTTGTACCTGGAGCCGCTTTCGTAGAACCATGCACTATAGTGCCTGGAGCCTTCGTTCCAACTGGTCCTTTCGTGGCTGGTGTCTTCGTCGCCTTGCTGGCACCTGGAGCTTTGGTTCGCTTGGTCACACCAGATGGACGCGGTTTACGGCTTCCATGTTGGTGTTCATCAGAATCTGAACTGCTGTCGTCCGCACGCTTTGCTAAAACAAACAACGGACCAATGCCGCAAAATCACCCAACGTCGTTACTTACTTGGTTTTGGTCCTGCAGAGGCTTTCGTGGCTGGAGCCTTACTTCCAGCTGGTCGCTTAGTGCCTGGTGTTCTGGTGGCCGTACCGTTGGCAACGGGTCCCTTCGTTGCTGGACCCTTGGTGGCTGGCGCCTTCGTAGCCTTGGTGGCACCTGGAGCTTTGGTTCCCTTGGTGACGCCCGATGGACGTGGTTTGCGACTTCCATGTGGCTGTTCGTCAGAGTCTGAACTGCTGTCGTCCACATGTTTAGCTAGCACAAACGAAACGTAGAATAACGCGGAACGGGCGAACATCTTCGCTCACTTGGTTTTGGTCCTGCAGAGGCTTTCGTGGCTGGAGCTTTAGTTCCAGCTGGTCCCTTGGTGGCTAGAGCCTTGGTGGCCTTGGTAGCACCTGGAGCTTTGGTTCCCTTGGTGACGCCAGATGGACGTGGCTTGCGGCTTCCACGTGGCTTTTCGTCAGAATCTGAACTGCTGTCGTCCACATGTTTAGCTAGCACAAATGAAACGTAGAATGTCGCAGAACGGGCGAACGTCTTCGCTTACTTGGTTTTGGTCCTGAAGAGGCTTTCGTGGCTGGAGCTTTAGTTCCAGCTGGCCCCTTCGTGGCTGAGGCTTCAGTGACTGTACCGTTTGCAACGGGTCCCTTGGTGGCTGGAGCCTTGGTGGCACCTGGAGCTTTGGTTCCCTTGGTGACGCCCGATGGACGTGGCTTGCGGGTTCCATGTGGCTTTTCGTCAGAATCTGAACTGCTGTCGTCCACATGTTTAGCTAGCACAAACGAAACGTAGAACGTCGCAGAACGGGCGAACGTCTTCGCTTACTTGGTTTTGGTCCTGAAGAGGCCTTCGTGGCTGGAGCTTTAGTTCCATGTGTACCCTTTGTAGCACTGTGTGATGCAGCTGAAGCGTGTGTGGGTTGAGCACCTTTTGTTGTTCCAGCTGGCTTAGTCTGTTTGCTGGACTTCTTCTCTCCGCTCTCGCTGGACGAATCGTCTTTACCACCGGCTTTCTTCGCTGAAAGAAAGAGCAGTCAGCTACAAGACGTTGTCTCGGCTGATACTCACTTGTTTTCACTGGCTTAGCAGTTCCGGCAGCCTTGGTTGTAGCGTGTGGTGCAGCTGACTCATGTGTGGGTTGAGCAGCCTTAGTTGTAGCGTGTGGTGCAGCTGAAGCGTGTGTGGGTTGAGCACCTTTTGTTGTTCCAGCTGGCTTAGTCTGTTTGCTGGACTTCTTCTCTCCGCTCTCGCTGGACGAATCGTCTTTACCACCGGCTTTCTTCGCTGAAAGAAAGAGCAGTCAGCTACAAGACGTTGTCTCGGCTGATACTCACTTGTTTTCACTGG